CATTTATGCGAGTGAACGTCTAAGTCTGAGGTTAGAAATCACATCTTTTACCCATTCTCCCTTCTATACCTCCACCCCACCAACCGTTTCGCTCCCTATCTCTCTATCGGTTACCTCGTTCATCACTGTCTGCTTTGTAATAATATTTCTCTATTCCAAACCTCATTTCCTTCTTGTTGAGATTGATAGCAGCGATGACACCAAACAGTTTATCTCCCCGTTTATCCCTTGTTTTCTCTTAATCGCCCCCCCCCCCCTCCAGTGCTCCTTTGTCTCTCAGGAGGGGAATAGGAGGAGGTGGCAGGGTGGCTGATTGGGTACAGTGCTAATTGCCCAGCTCTGGCTGTCCTGGGTTGACAGGTCTGATACTGGGCTGCAGGGAAATACTATTACAGATAATTATGCAATGATATGTCAGTGGAAATACAAACCATTATTCCTACAGGCCTTAAATGAGTCACTATTGACGTAAAAGAAAAAAAACCCATTGACCATTTTAAAACATGTCAACCACAACAGAGTTTGATATTTTGGACTTATTTGGCTATAACTATGAAATCCCTTTGACAAAGGAGAAGACAAAATAATTTGTCTTTGTAGAAACCAAACCATGACAGCGTGAGGGTGGAGGCAGAAATCTGAGCAATTTTAGGGAACTGGAAACTGGAAATTTCAGCTCAGAGAGAGTAAGGTTTATAGCTCATTGTTGGTGAAGGCAAATGTAGCTTTTCTGCTCTGGCTGTACATCATATACACATGCAATGCTCAAAAGTTGAAGTACTTCTCTCTCACCTAAGAGTCTTATATTAGCTATACCTGCAGCTCAACAGATGATGGTTGGAGGCTTTCCAGATGAGAATAAAGTGCGGATGGATGGGTTTTTGAGCTTTGATGGTGTGCTGTTGAAAAACAGTCTGATTTGATAGCATAAATGAAAGAGCATCAGGGAGAACTGTCACTGATGGAGAAAGGGTTCAAAATGGGTTAAAGAAGGAAAGGACAAGGTGTGGGAGAGTTTTAAGGACAGAACGGCTTCAGGCCAGGGCAAATTTTTGTCTGCGTATGTGTGTAGATGGTGATGGTGGTGGTGGTGAGGGGGTGATATTGCCACTGTTTTTGCATAATGTGAGATGAGACCCCATCATCTTTCCTCCCCCACAACAATTTTATAACAGACAGCTAATAAATGTTTCATGGCAGAACAAGCTGCTCGCCTCAGCTTTATTAAATCTGAGATAATAAAAGCAGAGAGGGAGAGGAAAAAAGAGAGTGCGAATAGGGGGTCGCACCAGAGAGGGAGAGATAGGGAGATCGGCGTAGACTTCTCGCAAATCGACCGGCTGTATCTCCTGTTTCTGGGGCAACGGGTCCCGCTGTCCCCCGCCACCCCCTCCCCGCTGCTTCCCGCTCCGCCAGAGACAGACAGGAAATGAGAAACGGGCAGACAGGATATTGCGTTCTGGTGGCCTGGGGATTAACTGTTTTATCTAAACTAACACACACCCACTCACTCACACACACAAACACACATCTATATCCTGACACATAGCATTCATTCTTGGTAGCATCAGGTGTAACTCACAGCCACACACCCAGAGACACATATCATCCATGCAGAGACCATGCACATCGTGCAGGTATTTGGTTGTTACTTTACACAGGAAAAGTCTTGAATATTATATACATCAGTGCTGCTCTCATGTAGAGCTGGTCATTGCCAAGATTTACTGCAAGAGTCACACCATGTAACTTTATAACTGTGGGACTGCCTCAGTGTGCACAAATACCTCTAAAGATCTATTCTATGTACTGTTGGCCCTTGTGTCCGTTGGATAGCAAGTATTATATACATGTTGCACATTTTTAGAGCATGCATTGACCTTGTTACTGCACTGATGCATGGATGGACGTGGTGCACAGATGCAGCATCTGTCACCGTTTTATTGATGTTTGTACCCAGGCACCTTATCTATGTTTACACTAACTGTGCATATTTGTGTTTATGTGTGCATGCGGCTGTATATATAGCCGTGTGTTTGTATGCATGACTTTACTATATATATCTATATCTATATCTATAGATATAGATATAGATATATATATCTTTAAACCTGTGTATTTCTCTATGAGAGTGTGAGTGAGTGGTGGCAGGGTAGCAAGTATCGTGGGGAATGCTGGGAGATTTTAATAACACAGAAGCAGTGCAGGGAGATTTAATAAAAGGAGATGATGTGATTACTGAACCCTGGCTCTGAGCCATTTTGCTTCACAGAGCAATATCCGCCAAAAGTGCACACACACAATTCCACACACACAGACACACACACACAAACGCACACACTCCACACACATCTAAGAAATTGATACTAAACAGAATACAACTTAAAACTAAGATTGATGCATATCATTTGTACTTTTTGCATCTGTAACGTGAATCTTCTATTATACCTTCATTGTCGCACACTACGGTCACATATGTGGGAATCACAAGCTAGGACATCTAAACCTCTGCTTATCACACCTTGTGAGAAAGAGATCCATCTTAAACTATAGGTCAAAAATCAAAATGAGTGACAATGGTGGTGGATCCTCGGTGGTGAAAGTTAAATTTATCTAAGTTAGGTTCTTTTGGTCTTGGTGACCAAAAGACCAAAGCTTAGTGCAATAAGAGAAACTCCTTAAAAAGAGAGTTAGTATAACCAAACCTGTACCTGTATAAATATTCATCAGTTATGAAAGCAAGTGCAACAACTGCAGTTGCTCTGAGACACATACATATTTATGGAATGATTGTATTGCAGACCAGACAATGTCATGCTTGTCACAGCTCTCAGGCAAAACAATGCCACATGACACAGCTTAGGGAGGTGATGAAGATTGTGTTGTGATGTTTGTATGCCTAGGCTCTGCAATAAACAAAAGGGAAAGACCTGATTATACCAATACTTGCAATACAGCACCTTTTTCTGCCTCTCTACACTTGATCTCGTAATCAGTGAGCTTGTAATTAGCCATGCCCCGTAACCCCTCCAAAATCCATGGCATTGAGCATAAAGTTGCCTGGAGCCAGTCTTTATAATGTTTTGTACATCACAAGCTCTAAAGGTTGATCATTACCTTCAGCCTCCTGTGAGCACTTGCAACTCTATTCTACGCATCCGCGCATATATCATATTATTACTTCATTAAAGTAAAGCTGTCTAAATCCAAAGCAAAGAGGTTTTTTTAAACTATCTATTCGCTTAGCTTTCAGCACAGCTGTTCCTTAATATACATCAGCTGTCTGACTTCTAGTTTTCACTTTTTTGAATTGTACACATTAAAAAGTTAAAACAAAATTAAGAACATAAATAACTATGTAACACCCAACACATACCAGAAAAAATATAGATATTAACCCATACCATAGAGACTTATTATTTTTAATCATTTAAAATAAAGAACTCACGATGAATTTGACAAATTTACTCAAGCACTGGAACCCGGGCTGCATGTGTGGCCATGTTTGACTAGAATGTATAAATCCTGTAAAGTTAAATTCACCTTAATCGTATGATTGCTCTTTATCCGTCATGCCCGTAGTGATTTTTTGGAAGCTGCACCCTGGTCAGGCCCATGTGTGAATGATACTTCTATTAGAGGGATTATGCTGATCTACTTACAGACCCCCCTCTGTGGCAGTTGCCCCAAGTTTCCTTTATTTGCCATGTTGAGTAAATTCCTACCGTGCTGTGTACACCCCTGATTAGGGAGTGTGGGACTTAACCACCAACCTCATCAATCTTGTGTCAAGCAACCCTGACGATTCTGTTTTGTTGTTTTTTGTTCCCAATGAAAGGACGTATTTGAAATGCTGAGAGTGAGGCTGTGCAGAGCGGTGTGATGATTGCGCCCTTTTGTAGCATGCATGTTCTGTACCACATGTTATGATTGACATGTGCGTTATTGCAGGAATTTTACAGTGGAAGCATCTTTCTAAAATGCAATGTAATGTTACTGTGACTAAGTAATTTAAGCAACATTTAGTCAAACACAAGGTCCTATCATAATAGTCTTTGTATGGTCGCTTATAGGAGTATTGTGTTTGCTTTATGATGTTAAGTTAGCGACACTGTCATTTGGGGATATTTGGGGAGCGTTTGGCAGATGGATTGAGAAAGATTAGCTGTAGCAGCTGCGTTTGGGACAGAATCACAGATTAGGAGCTCTAATGTGCAGACCTGGCTCCTTCTTTACTCTCCAGATTTGGGCAGCAACACCTTCCTATCACTCAGTCAGGGAGCGTCAACACTTCAGTCTTCATCCCTTCTTCCCCCCATTCCCTCCCTTCCCATCCTCCCTCCTTTCTTAACAGGGTTTGTGTTCCATTGTGCTGCTATTTCTGTATACATCAACCTTTATCTGTTTCACACCCATGTTCAGGCTTCCTCGTAACTTTTTTCCGCTGAAGAATTGTAATGGCGATCAAGAATATTTCCTAATCATAGATGTGTTGCACCACTGCTTTGATGATATGGTGAATGTGAGTAACTATCCAAATATATATATATTGATACTCGGTGGGTGAGTGTGTGCAAATGTGGTGATGGTGTGTGTGTGTGTGTGTGCGTGCGTGCGTGCGTGTGCGTGCGCGTGTGTGTGTGTGCGTGCATAAGTGAGAGGAGAGAGATTAACCCCATGCTATCCCCAATCCCTGGTTATGAGTTTACAGCGTCTGTCTGGCCATCTCACTGTTTAAACAACAATCTAATTAATCCTGTCTTTATTAGTTTCAGTGAACTGGGGAGGCAGGCTGGGAGGGCATGAGGGAGAACTGGGAATGCTGGCAGAAAGTACTGAATACTGAGGAGGGAAGGGGAGGAAACCAAGTGCAAGAGCAGGGATTTGAGAGGAATTTAATGGCATAGATTTGGGCCCTGTGAATAGAAATAGGGATGTGCAAGAGATTGTCATGTGGGAGAGAAAGTTAGGGGTTGTAACATAGCACAGGAGGAGAGATGGGGGGACAAAAGAAGGAAAGTGGTCATGGGGAAAAGTAATAGACCTGAGAAAGACTGTTTTAAGCTTTATTCACTGAGTTAAATACATAAATTGTGGGCAATATATGGACATAGTGGAGTTCACTTCACCAAGGAAATCTTAACATTCAAGGATTTAAATGGGGAAAAACTCTCCACAGACATCTTTTTAAGAAGCTAACTACTGCCCCCTACTGTGAGAATGTTAAAAATAAAAAACAATGTAATAATACAGACTACTGTTACCCATCTAACAGATGTTCACCTTGTTGCACTGCGAATTGGGTAATGCTTATAGGACCTTTAATTAAGAGACTATGCTAATCTCCAGAATCATTGGCGCTAAGGGTAAATGTGTCAGAGCTTCTTGTTTGTGCTGCCATCTTTAATTAATTTACTTCTTATTCTAAGCTGCTAGACTGTTATCATGCCACGTTTCACAGTTTATGGATGTATCCATGAAAATATAAGCCCACGTGTGTATGTTTCTGTGCCCCTCCAGGCTTTTTGTAAGAAAGTGCAGTGCCTGCTTGCAAGTCATTGGACGCTCTGAGCTGATAATGCGTGTGCTAGGCCAGGTATACCACCTGGGCTGCTTCAGCTGCTGTGAGTGTGAACGTCGGCTGCAGAGAGGTGATGAGTTTGTGCTGAAAGAAGGCCAGCTGCTCTGCCGCATGGACTATGAAAAGGAGAGGGAAATGCTGGCTGCCATCAGCCCTACACCAACTGAATCAGGTAAAGCAGGTTTCTTTGGAGAATACATAATAAAGGTCAAAATTACTTTTCTTGGGGAAATAATCTTTCTTTTTACACTCATGTCTTTAGTCAAAATCAATCATTTTCATCCCCTTTAAATCAGTAAACAGTATTTGAAAGAAAAACCTTGATATTTAAGACAAAAGCAGTTTCAAGAAAAAAACAAAAAAGAAAAAAGTTTCAAGCTTCTTCCTTTTTTAAAATTTTAAATGAAGGCGCAATTATTGAATTTTAAATAGTGAGGATAGTTTTCAGCAGTATGTTGAAAGTAATTTAAGCAGTACCGTTTTCTTCCATGAGAATGAACAAACTGTTACTGTAAACTACATGGAAAATATTTGTTTCAAATGTAACTGTTTGCAGAGCACTGTTCTGATTGTGCTGTTGTTTACTTAACTTGCTCAGTAAAAAGTGAGGATGAGGATGGTGGAGGAGGCTCCGGAGGAGGGAAAGGTGGTGATGAAGGCAAGGAGCACAAGCGTTCAAAACGTCCACGCACTATCTTGACCACACAGCAGCGGCGTGCTTTCAAGGCCTCCTTTGAAGTGTCAGCCAAACCATGCCGTAAGGTGGGCTGTTGGTCTTGTCAGTATGCCACAAGATACTCCTGGTCATGCTTTCCAAACTTCATTTTTCAAGGGTATGGCTGCTGTGTTTGGCACTGTGAAGTTAAGATTTTTAAAACAATTAAAACCTCTATCCTCTAGGTGAGAGAGACACTGGCTGCAGAGACTGGGCTGACAGTGCGTGTTGTTCAGGTGTGGTTTCAAAACCAGAGAGCCAAGGTAAGACTTTATAGTTTTCCTAAAGGCATGCTCACAAAAGCACAAAGAGAAACTTTGTACACCGTGTGCTTTTGTGCGTCAGATGAAAAAGTTAGCTCGCCGACAGCAACAGCAGCAGCAGCAGCAGCAGGAACAAGAGCAGCTGGGAGGCACCAGGAGGGGACCGAGCAGAGGCGGCCGCCAAAGCAATGACGACAGCGAGGGTAAGAGCTTTGAGTACCACTACAAGATCAAGAAGGAAAGAAAAAAAGATGGAAAGAAAGACTGGTATGGTTAAAGTTTTGGGCGTTTTGAATCTTTATATAGATGGATCTAGTACCCATGGCATGGATGGGATGCTGGGATATCCATCTCTGCCACGTCAGCAGCTCCTTGCTCTGGACCCCAACATTTATGGTGGAGAGCCATTTCGACATGGGCTTACACCACCTCAACTGAATAGCGAGCAGCTCCACTCCTATGGTATGACAGAAAGACAAAGATAAAAGTTACAAAAAATAATAATAATTTTCTTTTACCTTTTTTTTGTCTTGCTCTCACTAAAAACTCTTTCACTTCAGCTGTCCACACTCTCCTTCCTTTTGACTGCAGACTCAGAAACAGTGTTCCATGACCTGGACAGCGATGGAAGCCTTGGTCACCTTGGCGACTGCCTCTTAGCAACAGGGGAGGGCGGTCTCCTGGCAGGGCGAGTGGGAAATCCCATCGACCGTCTGTACTCCATGCAGAACTCTTATTTCACCTCCTGACCCTTATAAACTGTCACTCTTCCCCTCCTGTTTCACCTTTCACCTCAGAGATGCAGCTAATGGAGTCTGTCCATCAACATGCCTGTGGGACCATTCTCCATGAAACACCCTACAGCCAAACACACTTACGAGCTTTTATCACAGGCTAACATCAATTAGACATAGTTAGTCATAATATCAATTTGCAGCAGATTAACATAGTGATCCCACATCTTTCCCAGATAAGAATCACATGCTGGAAATACAGACACTGTAAATGTCCAAGATAAAGGACCTCAGTTTACTCTGTTGTATTTATGTAATGTTTAATGAAAAATGCTTCATGGCACTTTCCAACAAAAAAAATTAAGACACTTATACCTATCAATATGTATATCACGAATTACAGATGATAATTGGTTGCTGAAAGTGAATTCATCAATCAAATCACATATAATTAGCAGTCTTGGCAGGTCTGATGGGCAGCTGAGGGTTTAAATTAAATTAGCATATTGCATTACTTTTTGTTTTGTTTTGCCAGGACTAGAGTAGTTATTGTGTGAATGACTGCAGCGTATACAGCACTGTATATGGATTGGAGTATACTTTTGCTCTCAGGTTAGTGTGTATGTTTGTGGAACCTGAGCCACAACTCAGGATATTGTGCTGGATAGGATAACAATTTAACTTGCCCAATGACTTGAAGGACAGAGATTGCAAAGAAATTCTGTGAAAAATTATTTCAAACTATATCCTTGGTTTTTCATACTGCATGACTGGTAAAATATGGACCAAAAGAAGTGTTTTTTTGGCATTTAGCTATAAACTCTACAGGGTCATTTGAGGAGCCTTATGCGGAAACAGGGTTGTTTAAGTGGTTATCGTTTTAGTTTTCCTTTCTCTTTTATAATGTGATCACTCAAAAACAGTGCAGTAAATTTCAACTCTTTGGTATATAATTCCCCAAATGAAGGATACTGGGTACATGAAGGTACTCCAAATGTAAATGTGTGTATGACTGTGTTATAATTAACTGTTGTAGTCACAATCTGTAATAATTTCCTTCTCAGAAAGTCACATTAGGTAGGTATTTCGTATCTTCTTATGTGATAATCAGCAAATATTTAAACTGTAGCATGATATTTATGTGCCACAAGTAGGTATGAAGAAATAGCCTCCAAATTCAAGTGTTGCAGAAGGCATCAGGATCAGAATCATGAAGTGGTGCAGAATAAAATAGGATTAGGGTGAAACTCTTTTCATTTAGAAGCCAGTAATTGGCTACAGCCTGTGACATTCCTTCCTGACATTATGTTTGACTCTGATAACTGACTCATGGTGTTTTTAAAGTGATAATATTGTGAATGTAACTTATTTGTGCAGTAGATGAGTTCTTATCTTACTTTTTTGATCAGTGACTGCCAGGTGATGTGCTTTGAATGTAATGTTGCCGTATCTTCAATACAATCTGCGGTTTCGTCTTTGAACAACACTTGGCTTCTTTGTCCTAAATACAATAAATGATGACACATTTATCACTTGCTCAAATGGTACGAAACAAAGATGCACTTTAAAAGCAAGGAATCAGTTTCCTCTCAGTCTTTCCACTCAAAACTTTAATAACTCAACCAGAAAATGTCTGTTCTGCTTAGTGGTCACAGGGTTCATAACTCAACATCCTCCCTCTGTCTCTTTCAGTAGTCCCACTGATTAGAGCTAGACAGCCCTCTCCTTTCTTCCCAGACTCCCTATTGCTCAGTCACTGAGTAGCCAGGATAGTTTGTGTGGGAGCAATACATTCCAGTTTAATATTTGACTCTGACTCAGACCTGAAGAGGGCAAGGGTGGGAGGAATAGGCACAAGAAACAGAAACAATAAGAGGATGACAACATCAGAAGAGTATTAGAAGTCTAAGGTCCGTTTTTTAATGAAACTGTTCAATAAATCAGTACACACCTGTCTTTCTCACATTCAGAGACATAAATCTTATTTTTAAATCATAAAACTTACATGAGAAATTAGGGAATGACACAGCAATTAAAAACTTCAAGCAATCATGTAACCCACAGTACTAACGCAAATTTAAATAAATACAGTGTTGTTAAAAAGTATTTGCCCACTTCCTGATGTTGTCTTTTTTTTTTTTTTGCATAATTGTCCCAATTACATGTTTCAGACTATCAAACAAATTTAAGACAATAATCCAATAAAGAATAAAATACACTTTGTAAATTATTTAAATTATTTAAGGGGAAAAAAGCTATCCAAACTAATGAAAAAAACATGAAAAAGTAATTCCTAACATCATAAAACCAACACACTATTTCAGAAGAAGAACATCCTACCAACAGTCATCCATGGTGGTGGTAGTGTGATGTTTTGGGGCTGCTTTGCTGCTTCAACACCTGAACGACTTGACTGATGGAAGTGTCATCAAGTGCACATCAAATTTGTCTGACTCCATTACCCAAGAACCTAATCAAGCGCATTTGGTTTATGCAGGAGGACAGTGACCCCAAGCACACAAGCAAGCATGACCTTGCAAAAAACAAACAAAACAAAATGAAGATTTGGAGTGGCCTAGTCAATAAGGTGCTTTGGCATGACCTTAAAGCGGGTCATTCATCCTTGAAAACCCTGCAGCTTGGCTGAATTAAAATGAAAGACTTATTGCCAGTCATTGCAACCCCTTGATTGCAATTCTTGCTGCCAAAGATAGCACAATCAGTTATTACATTTAGGCTTTTCAGCTAGGGTTAGGTAGGTTTACATGATGATTTAACAAAATAAATGATCATTTAAAAACTGCATTTTGTATTTACTCAGGTTATCTTTGTCTAATATTAAAATGATGATGATGGTCTGAAACATGTAAATGTGATAAATATGCAAAAAAAATTAGGAAGTAGGAATTGGGAAGTATTGTATTCTATCAGCCACTGTACATACATGTCTGGAATACATTTGAAACCAGCCCACCTGGTGGCAGTGGTGTAGATACAGGTGTTTTCTGGTAATGGAGGACATCTTGTGCTAAGATGGTTGAGATACTGGATTTGTAGCTGGAAAAAATAAAAATAATAGTTTGGTATGTTGGCAACTAAAGCTCGTGCAATATTATTATTATTTGTGCAAACATGTCTTCAACGTGTCTTCAAAATCTGTTTTGTATTATGATGCATGAAAAACCAGCATGCACAAGCTATTTCCATAAAAAACACACTGTGAAAAACGTACCCACTCCACTGAGGTCAACTGTCTCTGCACAGCCCAGAAAGCGAGCCACATGTGGCGAGCAGGAGACAGGTTGTCCCTGATGTTCTCTCAGGCAGCGCTCAAACTCCACAAACTCATTGGAACACTCCTGCCTGATCTTCTGGATGACTGGGCTTAACATAGTTAGGGGTTAGATTAAAATATGCCTGGAAAATATTTCCAGCAGGATGCCAGAATCACTCGAGTAGGAATGATAGAACAAATAAATGGACTTACTGTGATGATGTACATTGTGCAACATTCATCTTCAGCTCGTGACACTTCTGCTGCCATGTTGATGGATTGGAGGCTACACATAACCCATACGCTTCCATTTCTTTACGGCAGTACTTTGCAGTTATATCCATAGCAGCCTGCCTGAAAGGTGACAGATTTATTTAAACCAGTGCGTGAGAACAGATAAGAACTATCACTCCTGTGTGCAGTAAATTCAACACGATAAAGTACTTTTCTGGAGGATGCAGCAAATACTTGTAATTACAGTTACATTCGATTCTTTATCTAGGAAATACAACGTGTATATTGTGTAACTGATTATTTAAAATTCTTACATGTTGCTTCTTTTATGGTGTTTGAAACGAGGACGCTAATCAGCCAAGGTTACACCACCACTACTTCTGCATGTGGAACCATGCCTGGACAGGAACACCAATGTTTCTATAATCTTATTGGTTCAGGATTGCATCAGTCACACATTCTGGCTACGCCCCTACAGTGACGTCACTTTCCTTAAAGGGGAAAGCCACTTGCTCGATTAACATGCAAATAAAGCCTACATTTTGCCAGATACACCCCTATATTTAGAAGTGTTAATGTTTTTAATGTTTACTTTAAACAGTAAATTTTACAAGTATTTCGAGGTAAAAACAAAAAAACAACGTTGTTTTTCCCGGTTCAATCGCGTTGTGCCAGCTAGAACATTACGTGTCTTTACGTCGTTACGTATGCGGAAGACACGGCCGTGGGAGCGAGCGATTCAGTAAACGGGCTCTGAGGGCAAAACCGCTCACCGTTCCGTGTGTAGATTCGTATTTTTACAGGCTACAGCACGACGGGTGGTGGTGGATGATAGAGGGGGCCAGAGGGGCGAGCACAGTACGATGAACGACACCAAGAAAGACGGGAGAATGGCTGCAGACGGAATCCGGGGACCGGGTGAGCTGCAAATGGCCCCCTCTGTGAACCATAACCAGCATGACAGCGGCACCGGCGATGAGCTGGTGAGCTCGGTGACGCTGTACAAGCGAAGGCCCCGACTGCTGCACGGCACTGTGCTCCCGTTTCTGGCTTTTCTCTACCCGGGCTGGCTGTACGTATGGCTAGGAGTGTACGGAGCCTCAGATTATCCAGAGGCAGGCCTCCTGGCGTTAGCTGCTATCGGGATCGCGCACGTCCTCACAGCACTTTCCGGTTATTGGTCTGTGCACGCGCATTGTTGGCTCACTTGTTCAAAGGTAAACATAATTAATAAATATCTTATTAAGCCTGCTGATATCCAAATAGACCCCACTGGTTTGCCCTTCTGTGTTTGTCTATGTCAAAGGTCAGAAACATCATGAGCTCAAGTGCAGGTACAGGTGTCTAAAACCAGTGGAGCAGAACAGGTTTTCTGGTTATAATCACTGCACTATGTCTGTGAAGGTTCTCAGTCATCCAGGTCATTGTAGTCAAAGGAGCTTGCAAAGAAAAGCGTCTGGACTTCTTTAAGTTGCTTGAAGACGTTTCACCTCAGCTTCTTCAGTTCTGAAGTTCTGCTTCTCGGATGAGAGGTGAAACGTCTTCAAGCACCTTAAAGAAGTCCAGACGCTTTTCTTTGCAAGCTCCTTTAATCACTGCACTAATTTCATGGACACAAGTGACCAAACTTTCACCGTACATCTCCACATTTCCCTTATAAAATCGTATTTTAAATCTTTGCTACAACATTTAGTACCTTCATTTAAAGTCTTCAGTATACTTTTGGACATTATTTCCAAATTCACTATGTTCTAAAACGGGGCAGATGTGGACCAAAAAAGGCGTAAAAACCTACGTGACTTTATTAATCCTACCAATGGGAGATTGACTTATTGCTGAAAGTTTATATAGGAACATTTCTTGACTAGGATCGAAGCCTCCACACCAATAACTGGTGGGCGTATTATGTATCTAAACACAAGTGGTCTGTGTACAGAAAAGCAATGAGTATGTGAAATATTTGCATAATCTTATTTGTTTGTTTGTTTTTTTATGTCCAACTAAGTAAAGCAAACCTAATTTGGGGGAAACAAGAAAACCCTAGTGCTCAGCATTTCTGTGTTTACTTAGCAAGCAGCTGCATAAGAATAGTTTCCCCTTCACAAAATCAAAGTTATATTTGCATCAATAACGTAATCTAGCTCAACTTTACAATCAGACATAAAAGTTAAGTATATTTTTATATTGAGGTCCCAGTATAGCTTAGCAGGTTAAATCTGCCCTGAGGCTACTTATTGTGCTTTCCTGTCTTCTCTTTACTTTCTTAATACAATAAAGACTAAAAGCCCACAAAATATAATGAACAAGTGCATTTTCACATTCTGCCTGAAATGCATGTTTGCTGTACATCAGGGAATGCTTTATTTTAGAGGAACAAAATTCATGAGGCACACGACTATGCCAAAAATAAGTGTGACTGTTGTGTGTGAATTTGTCACCTGTCTTTTTTTGACGTCTGCAGGAGCCAGACCCAGTAAAGGCAACGCTGGCAAAGGTCATACCCACCCCCAACAATGGCTCCGCGGAGCTAGTAGCACTACAGAGGGACCAGGTCAGTGCACATAATTTACTCCTGGCATCCTCTGAAATGATGTGGATTTTGTTGTTGATCTGGAGCATGCTTCCTGTTGACAAATCCCAAGGTTTTGAAGCAACACTGTCTCCTTTGTCACTTTCTTATGAATGCTGCTTATGTGTGAACCTTCTGGGAAGGTTTTTAGTTTTACTTTAGGCAAGAAAAATAATTTTAATAGCTTAGAGTCTGCAGCATTTATAGTCCCATGTATCATGCTTGAGTAGTAACAGAAGTTAAATGGGAAAGTGTTGTCTTGCTGTCTCTGCAGTCTTGACAAAGTGCTCAGTGTTAGGTTCGCTTTCATAGCAGATACACTGGTTTACTGGAGATAAACCATTTTCAGTTTACCCACTGAAAAGGCCACAACTTTGTTGGATCTTTTTCTAAAATATTCCCCTACTTGAGAGTACATATAATTTGCTATTATTAGACATGATGTGAAAATTGTAAGGAGTATCAAGTGCCTTTCAGCTTTTTGTGAATGCTTCAGTATACAATTTCTTATTTTGTCCAACAGGATGAAAACGGGGAAAGAACTCTGTCTTTCGAGTTTCAAAAGATCCGCTACACCTTTGACTACAAAGAAAAGAAATGTTTCCTTCCAATAGCATTTCCCATAAGTAACCCACTGGGATACTTTCAATCCTGGCGTGGCTACCAGGAGGAGACTGAGCTCAAAGCTGCAGAGAAGCGTTATGGCACCAATCGTGCTGAAATGATTGTTCCAGATTTTCTGGAGCTCTTCAAAGAAAGGGCCACAGCTCCCTTTTTTGTTTTCCAGGTATGTGTGGAAGTATTTGACAGGTTTTATATTTTAAAAATATATATAAATATTCTCGCATTCATGTGTTGTTACGCACCTTCGTCCATATATCAGGTGTTTTGTGTGGGGCTGTGGTGCCTGGATGAGTACTGGTACTACAGTGTTTTCACGCTGTTCATGCTGGTGGCATTTGAGGCCTCTCTGGTCCAGCAGCAAATGAGAAATATGTCAGAGATTCGGCGCATGGGAAACAAGCCCTACATGATTCAGGTAGGGTTGATGTATTTTATTGTTTTGTATGATATGTTTTGAAAGTATAAAGAAAAAAAACATTATTGTCAGTATTGCAGACAAGCCAAAGAAATCCTACAATTAAATTAATTATGTTAACATGTCATCATCTAAAATATATTAGATGCTAAGTGAAGAGTTGGTTCTTATAGTGAATGTACTTGTTGTGGGATAAATGCGCAGTTCTAAAAACCTAATTTTAATAATGGCCACATAATCAGTGGTTAGCAGGTAGTGACACTGGTCTGAGAAGGGACCAATGAACCAGGGTCAGAGTGTTGGAACAAATCTGATTCATGCTTGCTTTAACACAGGACCATGGCTAATACAAAGCTATGCTGAAAGCATCACTGAGCTTTGTGATTTGTAGTTCTCTTGCCTTAATTGATTTGAGATTTGGTAGCAAGCTAATCAAGGATTCTTGTAATGTTTTGTTTAATCAGTGCAAGTATTTAAAGCAGCCCATATTAAATACATGTATTTTTTGACAGGTATATCGCAACAGGAAGTGGAGACATATTTCTAGTGACGAACTTGTCCCTGGAGACATTGTCTCAATTGGTGAGTCTCCAGTCAATGTTTTCATGATTTCTCAACACAAAAATCAACTTAACTCTGTTTAGCTGTGGTTAAATGTATATTCTCTACTTCTCTACCTAATAGGGCGCTCACCACAAGACAACTTGGTCCCATGTGATGTGTTGCTGCTTAGGGGCCGTTGCATTGTGGATGAGGCCATGCTAACTGGAGAATCTGTGCCCCAGATGAAGGTTAGAAACGTATAGGTGATTACAATGTCTAATTGTTCAAAATGGCATTAGTTTTTGTGTAGCTCAGCTAATTGCTAAAAATATGTGGTGATCAGGAGCCAATTGAGGACTTGGACCCAGAAAGAATCCTGGATCTTCAGACAGACTCTCGCCTCCATGTCATCTCTGGTGGGACTAAAGTAGTTCAGCATAGCCCGCCTTTAAAAGCCAGTGCTGGACTCAAGCGTAAGTCCTAATTCCATTTTCTGTAAATGATTACATGTATTATGTATCTTTTTAAGATGAGGTGCATGCTTTAAAGTCTTCTTCTTTATGTGCAGCGGTAGACAATGGTTGTGTAGCCTACGTACTGAGAACAGGATTCTACACCTCTCAGGTCAGGGATTTGCTTACTGCATTTATATTCTAGTTTTGATAGCAATCTATAGTCTGTGTTATGTCATACCCGAAACTGTATTAAATGTGTGTTGTCAAACTTGCCTCTAGGGTAAACTGTTAAGGACAATTCTCTTTGGTGTGAAGAGAGTGACAGCAAATAACCTGGAGACCTTCATCTTCATTCTCTTCCTTCTTGTGTTTGCCATTGCTGCTGCTGTTTATGTGTGGGTTGAAGGTGAGAGGCCACGAATGAGCTTACTGAGATGTAATTAAACACGTCATGTGTCTGGAATAAATTGTATCTAAATAATGTACTTGTGCTTTCATCCTGTTAGGGACCAAGGACCTAAGCAGAAACCGATACAAGCTCTTTCTGGAGTGCACGCTTATCCTCACCTCAGTGGTTCCACCAGAACTCCCCATAGAGCTTTCTCTAGCAGTTAACACATCTCTTATCGCCCTAGCTAAACTTTGTAAGTCTGTGTGCATGACTTGTGTTTGTTTGTTGAATATAAGATGTGCACTATAGCCTTAAACTTTCCTAGATATCAACGCTGAATGTGAAAAGGAAAATGGCCACATTAGTTTGATCAGATATTAAACCAGTTTTACCCTGTCAGCTCCGTAGCACAAA